GAATTGTTACTCAGGGACACAGAATTGTTACTCAGGGACACACAGAATTGTTACTCAGGGACACAGAATTGTTACTGAGGGACACAGAATTGTTACTGAGGGACACAGAATTGTTACTGAGGACACAGAATTGTTACTGAGGGACACAGAATTGTTACTCAGGGACACAGAATCGTTGAATTAAAGAGTATGTCAGACAACACGCAGAGGAGTGGCAGAGGAGGAGTGGCAGAGGAAAATGTTTTTTAGGAGCGAGCAGACGTGGCAGCAGAGGAAGGGGTCGAGGCAGCACTAGTCGCAGCCAGAGGCCAGTGCTCCCGGTGTCATCCAGCGGTCGTGTCTCCACCGACAACCCTGCCGTCATCGATTGGTTGGCTCGGTCGTCTTCCTCTTCCCAGGTCACCTCTGACACCTACAGCCAACGGTCGGTGGGTACGTCAGACACAACCGTTAGTTGGCATGGCCCGGGAGCAAGCCCACTGAAATCACGTGTCCTCTACCTGCCCCTGTCCTTTGCTGTTCCCTCACCAAGCGAAGTATCGCATGCTGTGGGCTCAGCCCCACTGTACAGTGAGGAAGAGCTAACAGAGGGCGGTCAGGAACGGGGGGAGACATCCGCCTCTTCAGCAGCCAGGCGAAGAAGTACTGGCGAGGAGAGTGGCTCGGTAGCCGGTCTAGAGACAGGTCTGTCTCCTGACCCACACGCAGCCGAGGGGGCTAGTAGTGAGGCGGAGACCCTAATTGATGATGATGAGGCTGATCGCACTTGGCAGCCTCGTCGTCATCAGGCTATTGCTTCCGCATCATCAGGAGAAGAGGGTGCCAGCTTGGCAGCGAGCAAAACAGTCGGTGGGTTGCCCAGGAGGCAGCAGGGTCGCAGCAGTGTCAGTGGAGGCAAACGGCCACGGAGTAGAGCACCAGCTCCACTGCAGCCTACCACCACGGCCAGTAGTGGTGCCGTGTGCACGGAGGAAGTAGCAGTCAGCCAGTGAGGAGTAGCGGGGGCAAAGTTTCCTACTCCTACTCGGTGGTGTGGCAATTTTTCGTCAAGCCGCCCGAGGAAGTAAACGTAGCCGTATGTCGACTATGTGGCCAGAAAGTCAAGCGTGGCCAGGGGGCCCATGTTGGGACTACAGCGTTGCGTCAGCATATGCAGCGTCGCCATTTGGTGGCCTGGGAAAACCGTGATAAAGATACGGCGGTTCTGCCTGCCCCAGCCCCCGCTCCATCACCCGCTCCGTTACTTGCTCCGTCACCCGACGTCAATCGCCCTCTATCAGCCAGTCAAGGCTCCAACACCTCTGCTGAGGGGAGTTGTCGCTCGTTGGCATCTTCCGCTCGTTCAGATGCTCCTTCTCCTGCTACTCCTCTTCACGGATTCCGTCAGCAGTCTTTCTTGGAATCCGTTTCCAAGAGACAACAGTTTGCGAGCACGCACCCGACGGTGCAAAAGCTGAACGTCCTCCTGTCCAAGTTGCTGGTGCTGCAGTCCCTCCCTTTCCAAGTGGTGGACTCAGCACCTTTCCGAGAAATGATGGCTTGTGCCGCGCCGCGGTGGAGAGTGCCAAGCCGGCATTTCTTCGCCAAAAAGGCAGTGCCAGCCCTGCATTCACATGTAGAAGAGATGGTGGGCCAGTCTTTGAGCATGTCGGTCTCTGCCAAAGTGCACGGCAGCGCCGACGTGTGGAGCTGTAACTACGGTCAGGGACAGTACATGTCATTTACGGCCCACTGGGTGAACGTGGTGCCGGCACAGCCGCACCAGCAACTTGGACAGGTCACGCCGCTTTTTGCCTCCACGTTTGCACGTCCTTGGTCCAGCAAAGATGTCCGCCTCTACCACCTCTTCTTCCGCCGTGTCCTCAGCCGCCACCCCCCTGTGCCAAGTCCCATTACCCGACCGGCATATCACACATGTGCAGGGCGCAACGGTGTCACGCTGTGCTGCACCTGGTATGCCTTGGCGAACGTAGTCACACAGGGGAGGAACTTCTGAGTGTAATGAACAGAGAAATCGACAGATGGCTGTCTCCGCGCAAACTGAAAATCGGAACCATGTTGACCGACAACGGAAAGAACATGGTGTCTGCTCTGCGTCAAGGAAGGTTGTGCCATGCGCCATGCATGGCTCACGTGTTCAATCTGGTTGTCAAGCGGTTCCCTAAAATCCACCATCCCACTGCAAGACATCCTTAAAATGTCACGTAAACTTTGCATGCATTTCAGCCATTCCTACACCGCAAAGCACACCCTCCTTGAGCTGCAGCGGCAGAACGGAATTCCACAGCATCGCCTGATCTGCGACGTTGCAACAAGGTGGAATTCAACCCTACACATGTTAGACCGCCTTTACGAACAGCGAAAGGCCATCACCGATTTCCTGATGTTACAAGCGGATAAAAAGGTACTCCCCCTGTGTAACTTCGATGTCAGCCATTGGCAGCTCATGCGTGACACCTGCCGCTTGCTCAGGCCCTTTGAGGAGGCCACGCTATTCGTGAGTCGGCAGGACTATGGGATGAACGACGTCATTCCTCTGTTGCACGTCCTGGAACAAATGCTGTTAACAATGGCTGGTCAGGGTGCGGTAGACGTGGCGCACAGATCTCAACGCCACATGACCCCTGTGGGGGCAGGACAGGAAGAAGAGGAGGAGGTAGAGGAGGACATTGGTGCTCAGGAATTATTGAGTGAAATGGGTGGTTTTTCCACTCAGCGGACAGGAGTGGAGGAGCAGGAGCATCTGGTAGAGGAGGAGGAGGAGGAGACAGAGGACCCAGACGCACCGTGGCAGTATGCTGTGGAGATGGAGGCAGGGAGTCCCTCGCATTCCTTGGCACAAATGGCCCATAGCATGCTCGGTTGCTTGCGTAGCGACAGCCGAATAATAACCATCAGACAGAGGGATGACTTTTGGCTGTCCACCTTGTTGGACCCTCGCTACCGTTCAAAAATGGTGGCCTTTTTCACACCTGCTGAGAGGGAGGCCAAAATAACGTACTATAAAAAAACCACCTATGTAGTCAGTTGGTCTCTGCCTTTCTGCGCCAACGTCCATCCTCAGACACTGTGGGCCCTGTGCGCTCGCGTTCCGCTGCCATGGCAGCAGGGGAGGGGTGGGGTGGTAGGAGCAGTGGCAGCTCCACCAGCAGCGGCTGCCTCAGTCTGCAGTCGATGATGAGTAGCTTTCTTCACCAGCGCAGTGAGGAAACTACTAACCAGCCGCAGCAGCAGCAGCAGCATCAGGTGGACCTGGAGCAGGACCTCAAACAACAGGCTTGGGCCTACTTGGACAGCACCCTGCCAACCGAGGTAGACAATCCCCTTGACTACTGGGCAACGAAACTTGACCTTTGGCCCCAACTAGCTGAATTTGCCCTTGAAAGGCTGTCATGCCCGGCCAGTAGCGTGGCATCGGAGCGCGTGTTTAGTGCGGCAGGAGGTATTGTAACTCCGCGGAGGACACGACTGTCCACCCAAAGTGTGGAGAGACTCACGTTTGTGAAAATGAATCAGGCGTGGATTAGTCTGGATTTCAAACCACCAGTTCCTGACACAACTGACTAAATCCGCCATGAATCATGCCCCAAACATGTGCCACTTTCAGGTCTCCTCACACTGCTGGTGGGTTCCATTTTTTGTCATAGGGTGCTGGCAGATTACGGGCTCCCATTGCTGCTGCTGCCAGGCCCGTAATCTGCCATGGGCCCCTGTACCGCCTCCTCATGCTGCTGCCAGGTCCAGAGTGTGTCTCATGGGTCCCTGTACGGCCTCCCATTGCTGCTGTCTCCATCGCCACACTCTGCCCATGTGCCACTTTCAGGTCTCCTCACACTGCTGCTGGTGTTCCATTTTTTGTCATAGGGTGCTGGCAGATTACGGGCCTCCCATTGCTGCTGCCAGGCCCCTAATCTGCCATGGGCCCCTGTACCGCCTCCCGCCTCATGCTGCTGCCAGGTCCACAGTGTGTCATGGGTCCCTGTACGGCCTCCCATTGCTGCTGTCTCCATCGCCACACTCTGCCATGTGCCACTTTCAGGTCTCCTCACACTGCTGGTGGGTTCCATTTTGTCATAGGGTGCTGGCAGATTACGGGCCTCCCATTGCTGCTGCCAGGCCCCTAATCTGCCATGGGCCCCTGTACCCGCCTCCTCATGCTTGCCAGGTCCACAGTGTCTCATGGGTCCCTGTACGGCCTCCCATTGCTGCTGTCTCCATCGCCACACACTCTGCTGCCATGTGCCACTTTCAGGTCTCCTCACACTGCTGCTGGGTTCCATTTTGTCATAGGGTGCTGGCAGATTACGGGCCTCCCATTGCTGCTGCTGCCAGGCCCCTAATCTGCCATGGGCCCCTGTACCCCCCCTCCTCATGCTGCTGCCAGGTCCACAGTGTGTCATGGGTCCCTGTACGGCCTCCCATTGCTGCTGTCTCCATCGCCACACTCTGCCATGTGCCACTTTCAGGTCTCCTCACACTGCTGGTGTGGGTTCTCCATTTTGTCATAGGGTGCTGGCAGATTACGGGCCTCCCATTGCTGCTGCCAGGCCCCTAATCTGCCATGGGCCCCTGTACCGCCTCCTCATGCTGCTGCCCAGGTCCAGAGTGTGTCATGGGTCCCTGTACGGCCTCCCATTGCTGCTGTCTCCATCGCCACACTCTGCCATGTGCCACTTTCAGGTCTCCTCACACTGCTGGTGGTTCCATTTTGTCATAGGGTGCTGGCAGATTACGGGCCTCCCATTGCTGCTGCCAGGCCCGTAATCTGCCATGGGCCCCTGTACCGCCTCCTCATGCTGCTGCCAGGTCCACAGTCTCTCATGGGTCCCTGTACGGCCTCCCATTGCTGCTGTCTCCATCGCCACACTCTGCCATGTGCCACTTTCAGGTCTCCTCACACTGCTGGTGGGTTCCATTTTGTCATAGGGTGCTGGCAGATTACGGGCCTCCCATTGCTGCTGCCAGGCCCCTAATCTGCCATGGGCCCCTGTACCGCCTCCTCATGCTGCTGCCAGGTCCAGAGTGTCTCATGGGTCCCTGTACGGCCTCCCATTGCTGCTGTCTCCATCGCCACACTCTGCCATGTGCCACTTTCAGGTCTCCTCACACTGCTGGTGGGTTCCATTTTGTCATAGGGTGCTGGCAGATTACGGGCCTCCCATTGCTGCTGCCAGGCCCCTAATCTGCCATGGGCCCCTGTACCGCCTCCTCATGCTGCTGCCAGGTCCAGAGTGTGTCATGGGTCCCTGTACGGCCTCCCTCCCATTGCTGCTGTCTCCATCGCCACACTCTGCCATGTGCCACTTTCAGGTCTCCTCACACACTGCTGCTGTGGGTTCCATTTTGTCATAGGGTGCTGGCAGATTACGGGCCTCCCATTGCTGCTGCCAGGCCCGTAATCTGCCATGGGCCCCTGTACCGCCTCCCTCCTCATGCTGCTGCCAGGTCCAGAGTGTCTCATGGGTCCCTGTACGGCCTCCCATTGCTGCTGTCTCCATCGCCACACTCTGCCATGTGCCACTTTCAGGTCTCCTCACACTGCTGGTGGGTTCCATTTTGTCATAGGGTGCTGGCAGATTACGGGCCTCCCATTGCTGCTGCCAGGCCCGTAATCTGCCATGGGCCCCTGTACCGCCTCCTCATGCTGCTGCCAGGTCCACAGTGTCTCATGGGTCCCTGTACGGCCTCCCATTGCTGCTGTCTCCATCGCCACACTCTGCCATGTGCCACTTTCAGGTCTCCTCACACTGCTGGTGGGTTCCATTTTGTCATAGGGTGCTGGCAGATTACGGGCCTCCCATTGCTGCTGCCAGGCCCCTAATCTGCCATGGGCCCCTGTACCGCCTCCTCCTCATGCTGCTGCCAGGTCCACAGTGTCTCATGGGTCCCTGTACGGCCTCCCATTGCTGCTGTCTCCATCGCCACACTCTGCCATGTGCCACTTTCAGGTCTCCTCACACTGCTGCTGGGTTCCATTTTGTCATAGGGTGCTGGCAGATTACGGGCCTCCCATTGCTGCTGCCAGGCCCCTAATCTGCCATGGGCCCCTGTACCGCCTCCTCATGCTGCTGCCAGGTCCACAGTGTGTCATGGGTCCCTGTACGGCCTCCCATTGCTGCTGTCTCTCCATCGCCACACTCTGCCATGTGCCACTTTCAGGTCTCCTCACACTGCTGCTGGGTTCCATTTTGTCATAGGGTGCTGGCAGATTACGGGCCTCCCATTGCTGCTGCCAGGCCCCTAATCTGCCATGGGCCCCTGTACCCGCCTCCTCATGCTGCTGCTGCCAGGTCCACAGTGTCTCATGGGTCCCTGTACGGCCTCCCATTGCTGCTGTCTCCATCGCCACACTCTGCCATGTGCCACTTTCAGGTCTCCTCACACTGCTGCTGGGTTCCATTTTTTGTCATAGGGTGCTGGCAGATTACGGGCCTCCCATTGCTGCTGCCAGGCCCCTAATCTGCCATGGGCCCCTGTACCGCCTCCTCATGCTGCTGCCAGGTCCACAGTGTGTCATGGGTCCCCTGTACGGCCTCCCATTGCTGCTGTCTCCATCGCCACACTCTGCCATGTGCCACTTTCAGGTCTCCTCACACTGCTGCTGGGTTTCCATTTTGTCATAGGGTGCTGGCAGATTACGGGCCTCCCATTGCTGCTGCTGCCAGGCCCCTAATCTGCCATGGGCCCCTGTACCGCCTCCTCATGCTGCTGCCAGGTCCACAGTGTGTCATGGGTCCCTGTACGCCTCCCATTGCTGCTGTCTCCATCGCCACACTCTGCCATGTGCCACTTTCAGGTCTCCTCACACTGCTGCTGGGTTCCATTTTGTCATAGGGTGCTGGCAGATTACGGGCCTCCCATTGCTGCTGCCAGGCCCCTAATCTGCCATGGGCCCCTGTACCGCCTCCTCATGCTGCTGCCAGGTCCACAGTGTGTCTCATGGGTCCCTGTACGGCCTCCCATTGCTGCTGTCTCCATCGCCACACTCTGCCATGTGCCACTTTCAGGTCTCCTCACACTGCTGGTGGTTCCATTTTGTCATAGGGTGCTGGCAGATTACGGGCCTCCCATTGCTGCTGCCAGGCCCGTAATCTGCCATGGGCCCCCGTACCGACTCCTCATGCTGTGACGTTGCAACAAGGTGGAATTCAACCCTACATATGTTAGACCGCCTTTACGAACAGCGAAAGGCCATCACCGATTTCCTGATGTTACAAGCGGATAAAAGGTACTCCCCTGTGTAACTTCGATGTCAGCCATTGGCAGCTCATGCGTGACACCTGCCTCTTGCTCAGGCCCTTTGAGGAGGCCACGCTATTCGTGAGTCGGCAGGACTATGGGATGAACGACGTCATTCCTCTGTTGCACGTCCTGGAACAAATGCTGTTAACAATGGCTGGTCAGGGTGCGGTAGACGTGGCGCACAGATCTCAACGCCACATGACCCCTGTGGGGGCAGGACAGGAAGAAGAGGAGGAGGTAGAGGAGGACATTGGTGCTCAGGAATTATTGAGTGAAATGGGTGGTTTTTTTCCACTCAGCGGACAGGAGTGGAGGAGCAGGAGCATCTGGTAGAGGAGGAGGAGGAGACAGAGGACCCAGACGCACCGTGGCAGTATGCTGTGGAGATGGAGGCAGGGAGTCCCTCGCATTCCTTGGCACAAATGGCCCATAGCATGCTCGCTTGCTTGCGTAGCGACAGCCGAATAATAACCATCAGACAGAGGGATGACTTTTGGCTGTCCACCTTGTTGGACCCTCGCTACCGTTCAAAAATGGTGGCCTTTTTCACACCTGCTGAGAGGGAGGCCAAAATAAGTACTATAAAAACCACCTATGTAGTCAGTTGGTCTCTGCCTTTCTTTCTGCGCCAACGTCCATCCTCAGACACTGTGGGCCCTGTGCGCTCGCGCGTTCCGCTGCCATGGCAGCAGGGGGGGGTGGGGTGGTAGGAGCAGTGGCAGCTCCACCAGCAGCGGCTGCCTCAGTCTGCAGTCGATGATGAGTAGCTTTCTTCACCAGCGCAGTGAGGAAACTACTAACCAGCCGCAGCAGCAGCAGCATCAGGTGGACCTGGAGCAGGAACTCAAACAACAGGCTTGGGCCTACTTGGACAGCACCCTGCCAACCGAGGTAGACAATCCCCTTGACTACTGGGCAACGAAACTTGACCTTTGGCCCCAACTAGCTGAATTTGCCCTTGAAAGGCTGTCATGCCCGGCCAGTAGCGTGGCATCGGAGCGCGTGTTTATTGCGGCAGGAGGTATTGTAACTCCGCGGAGGACACGACTGTCCACCCAAAGTGTGGAGAGACTCACGTTTGTGAAAATGAATCAGGCGTGGATTAGTCTGGATTTCAAACCACCAGTTCCTGACACAACTGACTAAATCCGCCATGAATCATGCCCCAAACATGTGCCACTTTCAGGTCTCCTCACACTGCTGGTGGGTTCCATTTTGTCATAGGGTGCTGGCAGATTACGGGCCTCCCATTGCTGCTGCCAGGCCCGTAATCTGCCATGGGCCCCTGTACCGCCTCCTCACGCTGCTGCCAGGTCCAGAGTGTGTCATGGGTCCCTGTACGGCCTCCCATTGCTGCTGTCTCCATCGCCACACTCTGCCATGTGCCACTTTCAGGTCTCCTCACAATGCTGGTGGGTTCCATTTTGTCATAGGGTGCTGTATGGCCTCCCATTGCTGCTGCCTCCACCGCCACACTGTGGCTCCACACTCTGGTTTTGGCCCCGTGACTGCCCAAATGAGTGAAGTGTGCGGTGATTCTAAGATGGACGGCACTCATCTGCATGTCATACTGACTGACAGTATTATTTCTCTTCCCCAGCAGACTCCAAGGGCATTTAAATTAAAGGTACAGTGTTCTGCACTAATATAAAGGCTCTCTGAAGCCTAGAAACACCCTTTTATAAGTTAAATTCGCAGCGAATATATTCGACTCGAATCAAATTTTTTCCACGAATTCGCCGAATCAGTCGAATCGAATTTTTGAATAATTCGCTCATTTCTAGTTACAATATTTGTTTCCAGAGAACTCCTCTATGTGGTCTTTTTTAAACTCTCCAGTATCTTCCCAACTATAGAAGTTCCACTAACAGGTCTATAATTACTTGGGAAAGATTTTGACCCCTTTTTAAATATTGGCCCCACATTGGCCTTGCGCCAATCCAGTGGTACTATGCCAGTCATTAAAGAGTCCCTAAAAATGAGAAACATTGGCTGTGAGATGACAGAACTGAATTCTGTAAGGCCCCGTGGGTGTTTGCCATCTGGTCCACGGGCATAAAGGTTCCCACCATGCTTTGCAGAAACCTAAGATGGATGCCAGCACATGGAGATGCACAAGCTCTGAGGAAAGGTAGGACCTTGACAGTTGCTTGGTCTGATGAGTCTGTATTTCAGCTGCAACATTCAGATGGTAGGGTCAGAATTTGGTGTAAACAACATGAAAGCATGGATTCATCCTGCCTTGTATCAATGGTTCAGGCTGGTGGTGGTGGTGTCATGGTGTGGTGGAGTCATCCTGCCTTGTATCAACGGTTCAGGCTGGTGGTGGTGGTGGTGGTGTCATGGTGTGGAGGATCCATCCTGCCTTGTATCAATGGTTCAGGCTGGTGGTGGTGGTGTCATGGTGGGGTGGATCCATTCTGCCTTGTATCAACCGTTCAGGTTGGTGGTGGTGGTGTCATGTTGTGGTGGATCCATCCTGCCTTGTATCAACCGTTCAGGTTGGTGGTGGTGGTGGTGGTGTCATGGTGTGGGAGAGATTTTCTTGGCACTAGCAAGGTGGACCTAATAAAGTGTCTTTTGATATGTAGCCTGCTCATTGGTTAGGGTTTTATCTGGTACCCAACTTGTGCCCATATTTCTAAAACCCTGAGGAAGGAGCCATCTGAACCTCTAAAATATCTTGGCCTTTCCTTAGGACTCTGCAACTCATAAACTCTTTCTGGACTATCAGAAATCTCATGTTCATGTTCTCTTCTCTTCATAATTGAAGACTGTACTGCATGGTCCTAGCCTATGGCTACAGTGCTGCCTGGATCTAATAAGGACTCCTACAACCAACTGATATACCTACCTACCAGGACCTTAGAACCTCATTATTCTAGCAGATATGACACATCAGAGTCTGTAACCCTTCCCCACTACATCCAGAACTAAGCTTGGTTTTAGTATCTCCTCTATCAGGACTTACCATTGAGTGCAGTACAGTATGGCTTCCTTGTCATATCCTGTGTGTTATGAGGTGTATCTTGGGGCCCATTCACATCCTGTCCATAGTATTTCTTAACACAGGCCCAATGCTATAATGTACTGAAATCTATTGTTTCCAATTGGGCCAGTTCACACCAGTGTGATGTTTTGATGTGTGCTGGGTGAAATTGGACCAACTACATTTAAACACAGTGAAACATGATGTGATTCCATATTTTGCTCGCACCTCCAGACCTTCTCTCCTGCTGCACCACTTCTCTGGAACTCTCCCATATTAACCTGTGACTTGTCTTTCTTTTCAAACAGCTGCTGTTTATGGAAATGGAACTTATTTTGCAGTAGATGCAAGTTACTCTGCTGATGACATATATTCCAAACCTGATGGAAATGGACAGAAGCACATGTACCTGGCCCGCGTTCTCACCGGACTCTACTGTGTTGGAAGCCATGGGATGATAAGACCTCCAGCCAAAAATACAGCCAACCCCACCGACTGCTATGACAGCATAACGGATGACGTCCAGAACCCTTCAATGTTTGTGATATTTAATGACATCCAGGCCTACCCCAAATATCACATCATCTTCCAGTGATGATCTATGACTGTGTCCGAGGATCACACAAATCTCCGCCCATTTACACTCGCTGCAACTTTAACACACATTATTATTATTATTATACAGGATTTATGGCGCCAACAGTTTGCTCAGCGTTGTACAATATAAAGGGAGACAATACAGCAACAATACAGTTCAATAAAAGAGGGATAGGAGGGCCTGATCCTTGAAGCTTACAATCTAGGAGGGAGGGACTAGTGGTACAAAAGGCAATAACTGTGAGGGATGGACTGGTTGGAGGAATAGAAGATTCAGTTATTAGCTGAAGGCAGGATAGGCTTCCCTGAAGAGATCGGTTTTCAGAGATTGCCTAAAAGTGGGCAGAGTAGCCAATAATCGGATAGATTGGGTGTGACAGGAGTGACTTTTGGGGGTGGGGGGACCTCTGTATCATCTCCCCAAATCATTATGTTTTACCCACCCTGTGCCTGTTAAGGGGTACAGGGTGTGTATGTGAATGTCCCAGTCCTGTGTATAGTGTGTTCCTTTGTTCTCGGCCACATGGTTGCCCATTGTCTATACTGCCATGTGGCTATTCCTTTGTTCTATTGTGTCTTGCTGGCCAGCCAACTATTATGGGATGTACTGTTTGTGTATTGGTGTGGGGGTTGGTCAATGTCCTTTGCCATGTGCTTCATCCCATTGTTCTGTGTCTTGGTGGGATGGGGAGGGGTGATGATGTATTTCCTGTTCTTGGTTGTTTCCCCGCCCTCTGTATATATCCTGTGTTTTGTGTTAAAATAAACAGAGTAGTTGGCTTCCTGTATTAAGAAGAGCTGGGTGCTGTCTATTTTCCTGAGGGATTTCAAGGGTGTGGTCCGTGGATGGTGTTCGGACAGGGAAGCTTTGGTATAACGGAAAAACTCAGTGCGGTCTGGGTTTCGGTTCCGTTACATTGGTGCGGTCTGGGTTTCGGTTCCGTTACATTGGTGGCAGCGGTGGGATTGTGCTTCCAATCTGTAAACACATCCAAACCACCTCCGGGATTCAAGATCAGGAAAGGAGACGTCAGTCACCCCAGTGGAGATATGGACCTGGCATCAGAGTTCCCAGGGCTGCTGCAGATCATCCTTGCAACATACCCCAGGTCTGTGTCTACGGATCAGTACCAGGAGCTCAGGCAGCGGATTTGGGAGGTGCTTTGGAGAGGGAGCCATCCAGGCTGCTGGTATGGACAAAGGCAAGTGCTACCCAACCCCAGGGGAACGGGCCAGGGACCATCGGAAGTCACAGATGCCATTCCTGGGAGAGCAACCCCAGGAGCAATGGGTGGCTGAGTTGGACAGGCTGGTCCAGCAGGAGATAGAACTGGACAATAGATATCGGGCTCTGTGGTGGTACGCAGAGCAGGAATATTTAGGGGTGTCAACAGAGTGCTCTCCTGAGGGACTTGACTTTGGTGGGCCTGGATTGCTGTGGGAGAGCCTTACAGATCTTTTTGTGTTTGGCGATAGAGGAGAACCTACTCTGGAGGAGTTGCGGGAAGGCAGAGCGGCTATGTTCGGTCTCAGAGGGGTCTCAGAGCTTGAGCCAGATCTGCAATACCTGCTGATGAAAGAACTGCATCTGGAAAGGGCATACAGGCAGCTGCTAGGACATGTTCGGCAGCATGCTCAAGAGTCATCAGTGGAAATTCCAGAGACTGGGGATCTGATAGACCTCTCAGCTGAGGAGGAACCAGCAGTAGACCTGGTAACAGGGCCAAACATTACTGAACTCTGCCCAGCACTGGTAACGTCTCCTGAGTTCCACGAACAGGAGATGGTGAGCCCCAATCCCCAAACACCAGTTCCAGAGGCTGAGGATTTGATTGACTTTTTTACTGAGGAGGAACCAGCCGGGGAGCCGCCAGCTGAAGCACTGACAAACCGGACAGAAGGTCCAGGACCTCTGCCTCATGCCTGTGGTAGTTTCAGAGGCCCAAGGTGAGAAGGGAGAGGAGGTTGTTGTCCTCCCTCCCCCACAGTCAGCCAGAGAGGAGGAAACTGTTTTCCCTCCCAAGCCAGGATCTGTGCAGCAGGGGGACAGTGACAGAGGAATGCCATCCCAGCAGCAGATCCACAGTCTGGGAGTGGAGGAAGTCGGCCTCCCTTCCCTACAGTTATTCGGAACAGATGTGGGGTCCCCAGCAGAAGCGTTGGCACCAGGGCAGAGCGCCACTGGCCTCTGTCTAGCAACTAGTCACCACTTGGATACCCCAGGGATGCTGGGCAGTCGGCCCAGATCCCCCACCGCATGATGGAGCCGGCCCAGCCACCCTGTCTTCTCCCCAGCGGCTGAGAGGACTTCAGGGAGAAGGACCAGTCCGTACTTCTCCCCAGCGGCGGGTATGTTCTACGGGAGAGGCAGAGGTTAGCTGGGTGAGTAACGCTTGGTGTGGGATAATTTGCATGGGGTACTGTGTGGGTGTTGGCATTGAGGGACTGGAAGTACAGACTAACTTCAGAGTACATCCGTCTGGGATCTACTCCTGCGTTAGTCTCCTGCCGAAAGGGGAGATATGTGACAGGAGTGACTTTTGGGGGTGGGGGGACCTCTGTATCATCTCCCCAAATCATTATGTTTAACCCACCTTGTGCCTGTTAAGGGGTACAGGTGTGTATGTGAATGTCCCAGTCCTGTGTATAGTGTGTGTTTCCTTTGTTCTCGGCCACATGGTTGCCCATTGTCTATACTGCCATGTGGCTATTCCTTTGTTCTATTGTGTCTTGCTGGCCAGCCAACTATTATGGGATGTACTGTTTGTGTATTGGTGTGGGGGTTGGTCAATGTCCTTTGCCATGTGCTTCATCCCATTGTTCTGTATCTTGGTGGGATGGGGAGGGGTGATGATGTATTTCCTGTTCTTGGTTGTGTTTCCCCGCCCTCTGTATATATCCTGTGTTTTGTGTTAAAATAAACAGAGTAGTTGGCTTCCTGTATTAAGAAGAGCTGGGTGCTGTCTATTTTCCTGAGGGATTTCAAGGGTGTGGTCCGTGGATGGTGTTCGGACAGGGGAAGCTGGAGTCTAACGGAAAAACTTAGTGCGTTCTGGGTTCCGGTTCCGTTACATTGGGGGTAGAGAGTTTTAGACAATGGGGGAGGGGGGAAGCTCTGGAGATGAGCGTGGGAGGAGGAGACAAGGGAGCTAAAGAGCAGGAAGTCGTGGGAGGAGCGAAGAGGACGGTTTGAGTGATATTTGGAGACAAGATTGGTGATGCAATTTGGGGCGGAGTTATAAATGGCTTTATATTTTATTGTTAATGTTTTGAATTTTATTCGTTGGGCAATGGGAAGCCAGTGGAGGGATTGGTGAAGAGGGGTGGAAGACACTGAATGGAGGCTGGTGAATGGATTGGCAGAGAGGGGTGGAGGATACTGAATGGAGGCCGGTGGAGGGATTGGCAGAGAGGGGTGGAGGACACTCAGTGGAGGCCAGTGGAGGGATCAGCAGAGAGGGATGGAGGACACGGAATGGAGGCCAGTGGAAGGATCAGCAGAGTGGGATGGAGGACACGGAATGGAGGCCAGTGGACGGATCAGCAGAGAGGGATGGAGGACACTGAATGGAGGCCGGTGAAGGCATTGGCAGAGGGGGATGGCAGATATGGAACGGTTAGTAAGGTGGATGAGTCTGGCAACAGCATTCATGATAGACTGGAGAAGATAGCCTGTGATGAGGTCGGCAAATGAGGAGGGAGTTACAATAGTCAAGGCGAAAGATAACCAGGAAGTGATAAGTTGCTTAGTAGTTTCCGAAAGTTAAGAATGGCCGTATCTTGGAGATGTTGTGGAGGTTGGAGATGTTGTGGAGGTTGGAGATGTTGTGGAGGTTGGAGATGTTGTGGAGGTTGGAGATGTTGCGGAGGTTGGAGAGGTTGTGGAGGTGAAGTCTACAAGATTTGGACAGTGATTGGATTTGGGGCTGAAAAAGGACAGATGGGAGTCTAGGATTACACCTAGTACCCTGGCATGAGGGGAGGGGGGACTGTTGGTTGTATTATTGATCTTGATGGAGAAGTTAGGGGAGGGGCACGGGGTGGAAGGAATAGTATGATCTCAGTTTTCGAAAGATTGAGTTTGAGGAAGTGGAGTGACCTCCATGCCGATATGTCACTTAGTAGGTTAGTATTGTGAGAGGAGACTGAAGGGGTGAGGTGAGGAGGAGACTGAAGGGGTGAGGTGAGGAGGAGACTGAAGGGGTGAGGTAAGGAGTAGAAAGATAGATTTGTGTGTCATCAGCATAGAGATGATACTTAAAGCCATGGGAGTTTATGAAGTGACCAAGGAAGGAGGTGTAGATAGAGAAGAGAAGGGGTCCAAGGGCAGAACCTTGGGGGACCCCAACAGAAAGAGGAAGTGTTAGAGGAGGAGACAGAGTTATAGGTAATGCTGAAGGAGCGCTGCAATAGGTAGGAGGAAAACCAGGTGAGAGCAGAGTCTCGGAGGCCAAGAGAGTGGAGTTTTTTTTTGGGAGAGGGGATGGTCAACAGTATTAAAAGCCGCAGAGAGGTCAAGCAGTAAAAGTACAGAGTAGTGGCCATTGGTTGGGACGAGTACTGAGCAGTGGCCATTGGTTGGGACGAGTACTGAGCAGTGGCCATTGGTTGGGTACGAGTACGGAGCAGTGGCCATTGGTTGGGACGAGTACGGAGCAGTGGCCATTGGTTGGGACGAGTACGGAGCAGTGGCCAATGGTTGGGATGAGTACGGAGCAGTGGCCATTGGTTGGGATGAGTACGGAGTAGTGGCCATTGGTTGGGACGAGTACGGAGCAGTGGCCATTGGTTGGGACGAGTATGGAGCAGTGGCCATTGGTTGGGACGAGTACGAAGTAGTGACTATAGGTTGGGGATGAGTACGGAGTAGTGGCCATTGGTTGGGATGAGTACGGAGTAGTGGCCATTGGGCCTTGGGGGATGAGTACGGAGAGTAGTGGCCATTGGTTTTAGCAGTTAGTAGATCATTAGTGAGGTTTAGTAGGGCGGGGGGTGTCTAGTGGAGTGGAGTGAGCTGTAAAGGGTGAAGAAGGTTGTTGTCGGTGAGGGATTGGAATTCTCAGGTGATTGTAGAATAAGCTGCGTTCTAGGAGTTTTAGAGGTAAATGTCAAGCAGGGAGAATGTGTCCTTAGGTTGTCCAGGTTTCGTGGGGTTCCAGGGAGGGCTTTTTAAGTGATATTAAAGTTGCCTACAGCTTCAACTCAGGGCTTTTTTGTTGATTCAGTTGGATGTCATTTAAGTCGAGCATGGCAAATGCCCTGTGTGTGTGTTGATTTTTCTATTTGTTTTAAATGGGCCCAGTAGAACCCTGGCTCTGTAGTTACCCCCCACTCAGGCAGATCCCCAGCTCATGTACCCTTGTTCCGCAAGTGCTGTTATTAGTGCACGTCATTCACAGATCCCCCGCTCAGTAGTTCCCCCAGCTCAGCA